GGGCAACTTATGTAGTTAGCAGTGTGATTTCCTCCGCAATTGCTGCATATTTTATTTAATTCTTCTTTCTTAAGGGTGCATTTAGAAGCTTGAAATAAATCACCACATACCACTCAAACACTGCGTAGAGTGCAGTATGATTTAGTATGCCCATATTCTTGGCAGTTAGTACATAGTACCGGACCGTTTCTTTTATGTGATTCTTCCACTGTTACTCTACGATAATTTGTTGCATCGTTTCAAATTATATATTGGATTTGTTTAATTTTTTTTCATTGATTTGAGTTCAGCAACAATTCAATTTTAAACATTGACTGTGGTACTTTGTTTATATTAAATATATTTACACCTCAACTGTTTTAATTCTTCCAATGCTTCTTTGACTTCACTAGAGTCTACAACGGACTTTATACCCTTGATTACAACAACTAGGCCCTTAGAGCTCTTGAGTTGACACGAATAATAATTTTGGTTTTTATTTGACAAAAATTTAACGATTTCCATGAAGCTTGAGTGCCAACAATTTCACTTAATTTCGCAACAAGAGCATTACTGCTACGTCCGCGCATATATATTGGAGGTGGTTTGACATTAACGACTGTGGTGGTACCCTTCGCATCGTCGTCTGAACCATTGCTTAGTATGGCAAATCTATTGCCATTTAAAACTTCCGTTTTATTTTTATTTGGTGTGTCGGCTTGAAATTTTTATGATTGAACGCTGACTTTGAAGAACTTAATTTCCTTTTTATATTGACGTAGCGGTCAATGCCTGTTTGTACAGACGGGCCTTTTTTTCTTGGTACACTCTCACCATGTGTTGTATTGCCTGCGCTTTTGCTGGTACCTGCAGACTGGTTGCTGTCAGGGCATTTGTTGTTGCCCGATTGTTGTTATCGGCTGCTTCTGCTGACTGCGTTCTTTGCTTCCTTTTCATCTGATCGCCGGGATGACTTATCATCGCCGTTACACTTTTTATTACCAGTAGTAGTGGTTGTTGTTGGGTCGACAAAGATGAAGTAGGCATTTAAGAAATGCCTACGGCCTTGCTAATGAAGCTGCGAAGCACTCATTATTGTTTCTTTGATTTTTTGTGTTTTTGTTTTCACTCGTTGATTCCTGCACTATTTGTTTATGTTTATTATTGTTAATTTGCGTGCACTGTTTTTTATGTTTGTCTATAATTTAATAAATTGTTTTTTGTTTTACTTTTTGCTTTATTTTATTATTAATTTTTTTTTTTTTGTGAAGATTGATTTAACGAAGCGAATTAAATAACACGTCCGTACTCTTTTAACTTTAACTTCACAATACAAGTGTAATATCTTAAGAATATTCTCTGAAAGTTTTACGTTGATCCGATGATTCGTGTTTGAATTAATCGACAAATAACCAAGAGAGTGTGAAGCGTTAAACGCGTTTTTCGAAAAACTGGTGACAACTGTAACTCGAAAATAACTCAGTAGATTTTAAGGAAATTTACACCACCTTTAGAATAAATAAAAAACTCGGGCCTGATCGAAAGATTTTTATTTTTGATTTTTTCCCAAAAATTTAGAAAAAAATTCCTGAGGCCGCCATTTTGTTCATTTTTGAAATAAAACCTTCGACAGGTATCTGATATCTATTTCTAAACTTAAATTTTTTTGTGCGATTGATTTTAGATGAATCTCCAAGGACTTATGGTTGTCACCGCAAGTACCTTCTTTTGGAAATGGGTCAACACAAACCAATATAACTTTGGAAATTAATTTTTTTTTTTTTAAATTTTCTAAATTCTATAATGTGTTGACTTGAAAATGTAAAAATTCTAATTTTTTCGTGCCTCTGACTACCCGTTACCCCCGATCCCTCAATCCTCCGACCCCCCGCTTTGTTATTCTTCAGACGGTTCGATTTGCTTTTCTTTCTTGGAACGGCTGCTCCATCATCATCGATTAGGTAATCGTGTGCACCGTCTCCTGGTGTTATGCTTTCACTACCATTCAGCAGTTCATGTTGAACAGTCACTACATCACCTCTGTGGGTTCTACAACAGTATGCTCCGGTCTTGAAACCTTCTGTTAGTAGTAGTTATTTCATAGAATTTTCGATCAGCCCTGTCGGCCAGCTTGCCAAGCCCTTCGTACTGACGCATTTCGACCTCTCCATTTTTGACTGCAAATGCGCCTCCCTTCTCTCTTCAACTCTCGGTATCTATATCATCTCACACTCCTCACCTTATCAGCTGTTCTTTTGCCTTTTCCGAAACCCAATTCGTTTACAGCTGTATGTAAGGGGCCTGAAATACTGTCACACAGTTCCCTTATACCGAGTTAAATCCCAGAGGAGACTTGGTGTAATCTGGTTGTGATCTGATTTAACCATATGTAAAATAATCGTTTCTGGCCACTCCCAAGTGAATGGCGCTTAAAGTCGTTTCTTCTTTTCGCTACGTTTCACTAATTGGAGATTTCAGGCCAAGCCAGGTCCTTTTTCACCTAATCTTTCCAACGGAGTGGATATCTTCCTCTTCTTCTGTCGATTAATCAGATGTTGTTCATGCCTCTGCACCATATAGCAGGAGGGGAATAATGAGTGACTTATAAATATTGGTTCCTTTTTGTCGAGAGAAGACCTGTTCGATTAAGTTCTGTAGCCCCAATTATTTTCTCCAGCAGCGGATCGCACGATAAGTAGTCTCCTTGTTTGAAACCTCATTTGGTATCGAACGGCTTGGAAAGGTCCTTCCCGATCCTTACGGATCTTCTGGTATTGTTCAACGTCTCAACGTCAGCTTACACAGCCGTATACTTTATATCAGTTTTGCGGGAATACCAAATTCAGACATCGCGGCCCATTTTGCAGAGCCAACAATTTGCAAAAGAGCATACAGTGGCCGATTTATGTTTTCAAAAGTAGGCAGGATTTATTCTTTTTTTTATAGTCTTTTTATATCACCTAAAACTAATCGAGTTAGATATAGGTTTATAAATATAAAAATTAGCAAGATGATCAGACGGGTCCAAAGTCGGATCTCTATAGTCCGTCTGCCTGCCTGTGCAAGCTGTAACTTGAGGAAATCTCAGTCATTTAATTTTACACCCAGGGTGGCAAAAGAGGAGTAAACGACAAAATTTTACATGGGTGTGGCACCGCCTGGATTTAAGTGAAATCACATGTCTCCGAACTTACTGGTCCCATTTCAACCAAATTTGGTACATAGGATTACTTTGGTAACGCTTATTTCCCACATAACACAACTATAAATTCCATATATGCCGTCTTAAATTCAACTTGTTTCACCTCATGAATATCTGGTCAATGTGTAGTAAAACCCATACTATTGCGACTAGGTGCAATAAGTATGGCTGTGAAAAAATTACACCGGATTACACCCGAAAATTAATAGAAACCACACACTGTCTATACTATTTGGCTGCCAATTATTTTTATAATAGTTAATTAAAGTTTACGCTCAATTTTATGATATGAATTTCTCTTAATAATTATTCATTAATGATTTCTTTAAGGGCGTGTTCTACTCTAGAATTTAAAAATTTTTTTTCATATATTTAAAGTTTAGACCCTTGGAAACATATCCTTCAAAATATTTTTAAATATTGAAATTATTTTAAGAGCTACAGCTACTTTAGTGACGCAGTACCTAGTCCGGTAGGTAGGTAGACCCACTTTTTTAAACTCGTTTTTCTCGAAACTACTTTCTTCCACACGGTACCGGCATTATCTCAAGTTCTATACAACCAATTTACCTGAAATTTTATGTGAACATGAAGAAAAACGTAAAAATTATTTTATTTTCAGGCAGTCGCCATTTTTCAAAAAAAAATGTTTTTCGTGTTCCCTGAAATAGGGGCTATAACAGCATCCTTACTGAATAAGAATTTCTTTTGTTTTTTTTTTTTTTGCAGACCACCAGGAGAGTCAGGATCAATGTCACTAGGATGATTATTTTAATTTTTAATATTTTTTTGTAAATTTTTTTTCTGTATTCTTTTTTAAATAAAATAGAAAAACTGCCCAAAATTTGATTTCTAGAATAGAACACCCCTTTAAAAAATCGTCATTTATTCATCTGTAAGTTCTGCGATATCTTGTTAATTAATAGAAAGATATAGAATAATGATATATTCAATATACAGAGTATTTAATGTCTTTCTTGAATAATAGTGACAAAAATACTGTACGCTCAATTTTTTTTGATACACGTTCACTATGCTTTCAATACTGATTACCAACTTTGAAAATTTCAAAATAAAGGAATTTCTTCATTATTTTCACAAATTTTTGCAGAGCTGTAACTTTTTTTTTTCAAATTTACCGGAGTTTATTTTTTGGTTAAGTGAAGCTTAAAATCTCAACATTCCAACATTATATGGATATATGTATATACAACTGCAGCGACATCCATTGACAAAGTACGAAGAGACTTTTTCGACTACCCAATCCCTAAAAATCAGCCAAATGCAATGGGAAGTAGACGTTATTTTAGTCCGATTTTATTTAATGATAATTTCAGGCACCATAGCTTTAGTGGTTTGTGAGCTATATACATTAAGATTGGGGCGAGGCCAATCCCACTTTTTAAAAAATTTTAAATTGCAGATTAAAAAAAAATGTACGAATTCGCATGAATAATTCATCAAATTAATTGAAATCATTACAATATTTAAGACATTTGCAGAGATGTTAGCAATGAGATGTTAGCAATTTATATGAACGTTATATGAAAAATTATATGCGATCGAGTGATCCGACCTCTTACTCTGTAGGAATTTTACTTATTTTATATAAACTACAAATGCATATTTTTTTAATTTTTTTTCAGATGAAACTCATCCTTTACACGAGAATGAAGACATTGCCTTAAGAACACGTTATAATTCTGCTTTACATATAAAGTTATCACGCCATCTAACCGAATAAAATTTAATCTGCTTAACTATGTTTAAATTGTCAGAACTCGTTCGTTGGCTCGGCCTAACTGAATTTGAAATATTGGTTAACCTATGCGGAATGCTTACATTTACAATCATACTCGCATTGAAAATATCTGGAACGTATTCAAATTCTGTAATCGATTGGTTTACTGCATTTAGTCCCTTATTTTGTATAGAAATTTTTAATGCGTATTTTTGTGTGATCGTGGGCATTCGAATGTATTTGGATTCCGATAACAAGYGAAAAGCACTCCACAGAGTTATGTGGAGTACATACTTCCTGGTACTTATATCAATATTTAAATATTTGTTGTGTTTAAAATTATCTGGGCAAACTGGCCTT